TTGGCTGCGAAACAATCGACAATCGCACGACAGTGTGCGATAGTTTAGTCAAGTGTGGCCGCCCTACAGCTTCAATGGACACAGATTGACATAATTCAATAAATACGAACTCGCAAATTGAAAACAATTAATTGATTTGTGTATTATATTAATGAACGCTGCGATAACCTATTTTATTTATTGACAATAATATAACTTTTACTTATAATATTAACAGTGGTATAGCCCGCTTTAACATCTTCGCACGAATGTGTCAGCTCGCCCGGTGCAATACCACGACCACACAGAAGACAGGCGAGAAGTGGAAGTAATTCCGTACAGTCTGATAACTGTGGTGTAAAATAAATTTAATCTGCAAATACTAATCCACAAATACTAACAATCATCCATCCATCCATCTAAAATTTCGCAATTATAATATTAGGAAGATTAAAAGAAATTTTATATATAATCCTCTTAGAGCCCTTAATAATTTCAGAGAAATGGCACCTTATCAAAGATTTTCCGTCGCTAGTCGACTTGTTAATTGGCAAAGTTATTTGGGGGACCATTATTTTCACACTTGTAATCCGACCTTGGTTAATAATATTCATGTTAAATTCATATAAAAACATATTGTGTAACCTAAATTAGATTTGTTGGAATAACAATGGATTTATAAATACAATGCTACCTAGATAAAATATTTTTATTTACGCCTAGTCATTTAAAATAGCAAATATTCTATTAGTAATTTATTGCAATATTATTCCTTAAAACCTAAACAATTATTAATTAAATCGAATCTCATACTTTCAATTAAAAATAAAAACACTACAGTGAGAGTAATAACCTTTTCTAGAAAACATCCTGCCACTGCGTAACATTTAACATCGCCCCGTTTTGCAATTAAAACTGTTTTCGGTCGCAATTCCGCCCGCCGCTTACGTCAGCGGTGACGTCATCTGACAGATCGCGTTTATTAAAGTGCATCTGCTTCCGAAACAACGCTTGTAGTCGCTAGTATAAGTAATTAATTATAAAAAGTAACGGATTTTTTTTTAATATACACTACAAATGTTTATTCTACCAGACAGAATGTATAGCTTGGTAAATAAAAATAACCTCAAATTATTGCAGAAAAATATGAAACTAAATTCTTTGCGTACGAAAATTAAGTATTTAAGGGTTTAAAATTTTCTTTATTAGAAGACTCATAAGTTTTGCTTTATTTATTTTGAAGGTTAACAAAGATGTTTTTGTATACTTTCAGGTACTGTCAACAGAAATACATCAATTACAACGTGAGTACAAACTATTTTTTCCTAGTCTGATTTATTGGATGTTTATCAAAGTTTGAAAACTTTTTAAATGCATAATATAACTTGCTTATATGTAAACTAGCTGTTCCCGTGCGGCTTCATCCGCATGAAATTATGAAAATTTTATTTTATTGTTTACATTTGTCAAATTATCAATAGCAAATGTCAAAATATCTTACTATGGCAATCTTGCTTCCTTGATGTTGGCAGCAACTTCTGGTCTTTTTCCCACATTGGGGTTTTTATTCAAAATATTTACCCCTTAAGTTTAATGACGTTAAAATATATAGCTTAAAGCGTGACGTGAGTGTAGGGATTTTCATTAAAGAAAGAATTATTCAAAAATATGCTGTTATTGCTAACATCTTAGGCAACAAAGAAGTGTGTGTTTACGCTTTATTATAATAGTATAGATATGAAATAGAGTTTTCTTCAGCGAGTATCGATTTAAAAACAAAATATAACACTTTTCAATTTACGTTAACGAATTGAAAAGTGAATAAAGTTCGAAGTGAAACGATTTCTGTAGATTTTCAATTTAAAATAACTGACGTTTGATTCTTATTACATCTTGCTAGTTCTGCATTTGACGCGCATTTTTTTAAATTACCGAATTCATTTTAAGTTTTTAGGTTAGATTTTAATGAACTGCATTTATTTTATATATTAGCCGTCTCGTGTCATATTTATCTATCAATCTATACTAATATTATTAAGAAGAAAGATTTGTATTTTTGTAAGTATTGAAATAATTCAAAAAGTACTAGGCCGATTTTAAAAAAATTGACTGTTAGAAAGGTAATTTATCTGTGAGTGACATAGGCTACGTTTTTTAATTACATGCGGACAAAGTCGCGAGCAACAGCTAGTAATTAATTTACTATTTATTATATTATAATATATATTATATACTTGGATTAACTTTTAAATGTTTTCCTACTACTGCGTTTTGTTGATTTCTAATCATACTTCATACTAATATTATAAATATGAAAGTTTAGATGCATGGATAGATAGATGGATGTTTGTTAAAGTTTGTAGCCTAAACGGCTGAACGGATTTCGATGATATTTTTTTAGATGTAGAGTATAATCTAGAAGAACATACAGGCTACTCACTTTTTTTAATCCCACGCGGATGAAAGCAAGTAAAAAAAATAAAACTTAAGTGTTCGGTCCGTAATCAAATCCTTCAAACATTCAGGATTTTGTCGTAAAATGAATTCTTTAAAATCTATTTCCATTTTCATTATCGAAGAAATGTAAATAGGAAATAAAATCCGTATCGAACAACTTACTGTACATTTTATCGAAGTCAACGAATAAGTTTGATTCTAAATTTTATTTGCCCGAATTTGGTGCTGTTCGGAAACAGGATCATTGTTCAAGCAAGGATGGGAAGGAAAAGTGGATTTGGCAGTGGAGGAGACGCATAGAAAGGGGAAATATGCTCTTTATGTAAGTCTCCTTTTCCATCGATTAAGGGTAGGCAACGCATCTGCAATTGCAGATGTCTATGGGCAGCGGTCGCTTCGCCATTGTGGTGGTTTAAGGTGACCGCTTCCTTGTTTGCCACCACGTAATAAAAAAAAGCAAGAAGATGAACACATCTGAAGTTTTAAATGAATATTTACTAATTTCTTGATACAAAGGAGCTTAGAGACTATTAATGTAACGAACTACGCCTAAGTTAAGTTGCCGGTTGCTTCATACATAATAACTAGCTGTTGCTCGCAACTTCGCCTGCGTTTAATTAAAATTATAATAAAATAGATAGCCTATGTCACTCACAGATAAATTACCTTTCTGAGGGTGAAAGTATTTTTAAAATCGGCCTAGTAGTTTTTGCGTGAAACAATTACATACAAAAATCCAAATCTTTCCTCTTTATAATATTAGTATAGATATAAATATGCTATCTTAAAAACATCGAATTGAATAACACAATACTACATGAAGGGTGTGGAATCCAGTCTTTCGGTAATATGTGCTATTCGTCATCCATC